GGATATATGTTTGGGATTTGTGCCTATTAAAATAGGATGCACTAAAGTATAGAGGAAGGAGGTCCAAAGCAAGAGCCCTGGGCTTGCAGTCTAGGTCACATCACCAGTATGAATGGGCAAGTCTCTTAATGTCTCTCAATCTGAGTTTTACCTTTCATAAAATAAGGATGATGGCCCTCTCAGGACTAACTCTGAGGGTTACTATGGGCAACAAATTAACTCAATCACGAATCTATAAATATTGAGTAAATACTTTTATTAAATTATGTAGCATTATATAACTTTTTAATATTGTTAATATTATTTCATTAAGCTGAAAACTCCTATTCAAATATTTAATTATCAAGCTAACAGTAACACCAAATAGGGTGGCCCGAGACAGTCGGAGGAGGTCTGCATCTACGTGGGACTCAAGTCCAAAGACCAAACATCAAATGTGATCCTAAGGACCACAAGGCAGGTCAGCAAGGTGCCGACACAGCAGGCTGAACGGTTTCCCTCCTGTGTCCCTCAGGAAGAAAGAACTGATGGGTGTTCTAACCCTCCTGAGGCCAAGAGGAGTAGCATCCCGGCAGCTACTTCCCAGATGCATGACTGCAGCGGGCCAAATACGCCATAAGGTTACTGCTATTTCGAAGGAAAACCCAAGGATTTTCTATTCCTTTGCACCACAGAAGGTACGACTTAAACCCTTTATCTATGAGAGCAGGGGAATGCAAATAAACAAAAACATATCACAAATGTGCTATTCTTTTCCAAAGAGAATCGTTTTCTAGTTGTCAGTGTGGATAAATACATTTTGAAGCAAAAATACTCTTAATTTTAATCTTCTCCTCTTTGATGTGAACTGCTCACCATACAAAACGGTTAATACCAAATGCCTTTCCAAATCACTGCATGGAAAAAGCTATCTGTTAAATAGTTTGGCTCATTATTTCAATAAATACAGTTAGATAACTCATATACTATGAGAGAAAAGGAACAATATTAAATTGTTAAAAAAGTTACATTAATATTTACCTTTTGTGGATGAGTTATATTTTTCTTGTTCTTCAATGAATTAAATGCACATAATGATGGAAACAAAAGAAAGAAATCAGCAAATTTATAGTTAGACATGGAAATGTGAATCAACACAACGGCATGAATAACAAAAATACGTAACATATAATGTGACATGGTAAACTGCAATGAGAAACCATGAGGAAATCTCCAATATGGTACTAAAATCAATCAAAGAAAGAATGAATGCAACAATTTAAAGATTTTAAATAAAAACAGAAACATTGGGGAATTAATATTGTATACTTGGCATTTGAAAAGTATATCTTGTGTTATTTTTTTCTTGCCTTTGAAGAATTGCAAAGTATTACAGCACTCGCTTTACTAAGACATTTTAACCTTAATCCATTGTGACTTTTTATTGTAAATGTACTTAAAAGCATATTTAATGTTCATAACTAACATTTTCATTTAAAAAATGACAGCATTTCAGATAATTGAAAAAGCATATAATAAAAAAATAAATTCCATGTTTTTGCTAGATAGTAGGCATTTTCTCTTCACTGTGGAAAATATTCAGGAACATTTTCCACCTGGAAAAAAATATATTTTAAATTAAGTAATCCTTTCTTCCTTCTCAAATTACTGTAATTATATTAAAATATCTCAAAGTGAAATTGTTCTTTGCAGGCTGTATTTCTCAGACATTTCTTAAGCCTTTCTCTGCCTCCTTGTTGGTGCACCATTTACTGAGAAATAATGGCCTATCTAGATATTTTGAAGGGGAGTGCCATTAGTTCTAGGTAGCAGAATTAATAACAGAACACATAAAACATAACTGGCACATCAAGTGTTAGTTTATAGTTTATGAATGATCTTTAAATACGTCCTCTTAAAAAAGACAACTAGGTTGCACACACACACAAAAATCACTTGGTTGATTTCAGAAAACCATACATTTTTATGCAACCAATTATGTTGCTTTCAGTCTCACTCTACCTAAGGGCTACATTGTAATACAACATTGGAACATACCCAGAGGAATTTCCTGAAAGTTTTTGCTCTCAATTATCACATACCATTTGAGTTACCTAAACTTTAAGGCTACTTTTTAGCGACTTTATCTCAAAATCTGCATTGTTATCACACCTCTTCTTTTCCCCTAACTATACTTCAACATAATCAGATTCCGTGTAGCAAATAGGCTAGCATTACTAATTTTTAAAAGAAACATTAAAATACTTTTCCAAAAATTAAGTAAGTGTATCTTTTCAAATTATATGTTAGCTTTTAAAATAATATAACTTGTTTTATCGCACAAGGAGAGAGTAGTAAAATTGAATTACAAGAAAAAAAAAACCAAACAAGAAGCATGCAAACAATCTATGGATCCTAAACAAAATAATGTAGATAATTGTAACCAGAAACTGTGTATGAATAAAATTATTTTATAAGTTCATCAGGAAGTTGTATCACTATTCAGGAATCTAAACCATTTGAAATGTTTGCTCCTAACCAACAACTGCTTATCAACTCAGTTATCTTTTTTAAAAAAGAAAATTACCCTTTGTTAAAAATTAAAAAAAAAAAACCCACAAATATACATAAAAGAAAACTGGAAAGAAGTCAAGTGCGGTAGAACTTTCACTGACTGCAAGTAAGCTGCATTCTGCACCAGTCTTCATGGCAGATAGAAGTAAATTTTAACATATAATATGGAAAGAAAAACATGACATGATTCCACAGCCCTAAGAACATCAATGAAATCCATCTCAAATGGATTAGACAACAGCTAAATTCGGTCTAATCCATGAAGCAAATTAGAAGTTTACTTTTAAAAACATATTCTAGGACACACAAAGATGTCATGTAAACTGTTCAGCTTGAAATAGATCCATAATAAGACGAAGGAGGACAGTATCATCATTTACCAAACACCCCAAAGCACATAGTATTATCACACAGTAAACCAGATCCATTTTACTTATAGAAGAATACATAGTTACAATAATACATGTTCGTTGTCATATTTTAAAGGTTGTATCTATATGACTCTTAAGATGATAAACTTCAGGAACCTCAAGTAGCAAGTGTTTAGGAATGTACTTGTGATATTAACTATCAAAATAACTCCACCAATTTCATCCTCAGTCACTCCTTTCTTCCCACCTCAATTCAATCTTTACAAATTGGTGATTTCTCTGAAAGACAACTGTGAATACGAATATCATAAACAGTAATGTTGACTGATATCAACAACAGAACATGAGCTTTTATAAAAACCAAAGTCCAGCACACAATCCATCTGACTTTGTAGAAGCAATTCTTATTTCTACAGAATAATAAAACTATAATCTCACTATATGAGCGTTATATGCAGTACCGTTATATACTTTTGAACCGGAAGTGTTTTAGCAACTGGAGGAAATGCAAAGAATTTTAGAAACAAATGACTTTTTGGATATCAATCTTTGGCACGCTATGGCCAGTAACACTGAGTTTGTAGCGGAACACTAGAACCTGTAGTTCTTTTAGTTGTGCAACAGGAGTTCATGAATGGATAAGTTAAATAAACACCACATTTAAAAAAATAAATTTTAAAACAATTTCATCTAGGCTACTGCTAATTACAGTCTTAATAACATTAATTATGAATTATCTTCTCAAAATGTTCCCAGATAAGAGAAAGTCTGTTAAACACATGAACTGAGAATTCCAAAGAATTCATGGTTATTTCAGAAAAGAAAGTCAGAGTTTCACATAGCCTTATATTTTCCTGATTAAGTAAATGAATACCCTTATAATGACCCTGAATACTAAAGTATGATATATCAACAGGATATATGATTTTAAAAAATAATACAAATCCAGAGTTTACTGTAGCAGCATTTTTGTGTCAATATACTGATACTTCTCAAATCTACACTAATTTTTCTATAACCAAGTACTCTGTGTACAAACTCTGCCTGATCAGTTTTTGAAACAATGTATTTATCTTCTTAGACCACTAACACTTCGGTGATACATTCAGTAAAGCTCTTTGCGTGAGTAAAACACATACCCAGCACCCTCAGTACAGAAGGAAATATACAAGTTTTACACCAGAAACAACCAACACTGTTGAGAAAAATATGCAAAATGTTAACCTTCCAGTTGTTTCATAGGGATGAAGAGTTTCAATACATGATTTAAATAGAAGTCCACTGCGTTCATATTACAACCCCCAATTAAACAGTATTTCACTAAACTGCTTAACAAATCTCTGGTAATATTTATGTGATAACATTTACCGATAACAAATCATTTCACTTACTGAGAAATGGGATAGCACCTTGGGTCACATGAAGAAAACAGTGACCCTTTTAACCTGGTATTTAAATCCTCTTAGGCCAGGTAGCTTAGTGAATTTAATTTCCACTAAAACCTGCCCACCCCCCAACATCTCTCTTTCTAGGAAGATAAAACACAATGTGTACATGCTTAAAATAAGGGAAATTTAAGTGATGTTAACTGATAAAAAACACTCAAATGTGTGTTCTAAGCCAGTTTTTCACCATCAAACTTCTATAAAAAATACAAGGTATTGCAGGTAAATTAAAAAAAAAAAACACTAGCAAAGCCTTCAATACGATTGCCTCATTTAAAAACATTTTTAAAACAAGGTTAAAAACGTCTTCCTTTAACACATAAAATACCACATGGTACTGAGGTTTTTAAAGTTTTATTTTCTTCCTTTGCACCTTTGGAAAAGGTACCTCTAGGGCGCAGTCTGTTCTTTTAATTGACCATCTAAAATTCATTCATTCACTCACTCAGCAAAAACAGCACATAGGCCACGAACTGTTATAACTTGGTGCCGGGAATAAAACTCTAAGACACTTGACTTCTTAGGATTCATCACACTACGTATCATCAAGATACTATTCTTTCAATAGAAGGAGTATAAAAAGAGGTGGCTGTCAAATCCGAGATTTTGTCAGTGCTCTCTCTATGGATACCTTGTTCTGCACTGCCGCTCCTCCCTGGCACTTGTGGGAGCTGCCTGCCCCGAGGGCTGCCAAAGGCTGTGTCTGCGGGCGGGGACCGCGTCGGGCTGGCCTGCCGGTGCACTCTGTGGGGAGAAGAAGCAGGGCAAACGAAACGATGAAATCCCAAAGGGCCTGACAAGGATCTCTTCCTTCCTACTGTTCCTCTTAAAACAGACGTAAAACCCCTACCTGGGCCTTTGGAAGCAAAATCAAGTCCTTTTTATGATGTGTGTAAAAGGAATATTACCAAAAGGGGCTACAAGAGACAGGGAAATGTCTGCCACGTAGAGTTCTGCAGAATGAATTCCTGAACTGGGCAGAAGGGAACGTACTTCTTTTCATTAACTTTCTATGAAGTTGTGACTTTCTGTTAAGTTATCCATTTTTGGTAGTGCTGGACCTAGTATATCTACTCACAGCCTACGAATCTTAACAACATGGGTAAATGATTTAGGAAAGGCTGTTGCCTATATTGCTACAATTAAATCCATATAAGTGATAAGAATAGTTCTGGCTGCAGGCTTTTATAAATTACCATTCCCTTGCACTTTATGTTTAAATAGGAAAAATCTGAAAAGATATTTATAAAAATAACCTTGGGCACATGCTATGAACTATCCTAGTGAAAAGATCAAAACTACAAATACAAATTTAAGAAGCGTGAAGATACGTCACTATTGTACGGAAGTAAGCTGACCTCCATCTGCTGGCATTCAAACTTTTTTTTTTTAACTGAAGAACTTTAAAACACTCTCAGCTTTTACTGAACGAAGATGAAAGTTTTCAATTTTTTTTTTCTAATTCCTCTTACACTTTTTAAAGCAAGTACACATTTAATTCCAGGTAATTTCTTATACAGAATTTCACATAATTTAAAATATATATATATATGAATATGCCACAAACAGATGGAAGGACATAACACAGGCAGAGTTAATTTTCGATGATGGCTAGTTGGCAGGAAGTATAGAATAGAATACCACCAGCACAGTGAAGGTAGATGCAGGTAAGGGAGGGTGTGGAGAGGTTAAGTGCCACAAAGAAAGGATTAAGAACTATGGTGTCATAATGAGCGACAGTGTCAAGAGCTCAGGAGGGTACAACACCACACCAAGACCCAGAGGCAGACACGGAACAGCGACCTTGTCAGGAGCGGAGAAGGTGGCGCCGACCCTCCAGGGGCAAGGTGGTGCATAGAACACAGTGTTCTGACACTAGGGTGCTCACTCGAGCGGGAGCGAGCGGGATGTTTTCCCCTAAGGACTAGCTGATCAGTCGCTCTCGGGGCTGCGTATCCCCTTCTAGAAAGACATGGTGGGAGAACCCTAAAACATTAGGGTCAGAAAAGATCTTCAGTCAGCAGGTCACATCCACTTTGATACCAGCACATCTGTCCAAGGAAAACCTGGTTACTCTTACAAGACAGTGATTTTAAAACCCAGGAGCAAACCCATCACAGTTATTGAAATGGACCTCACATCAAACTGATGCGTTATCGCGAACGTGCACGCCTGGTGGTTCTGAGCGGGCCTGTCTGGACTCCTCCAGTGTAACAAGCCTCTCAAGTCCCACAGGGGCAAAGACTTCTGTCTCTTGTTTCTTACTGAGCTGTATCTCTGGTGCCTAGAACACAGCAGCACAGAGAACAAGAGCTCAGTAGAGAGATCTGGATTTGAATGAGTGAACACAGTCAGGACAGTGAACTCAGGGACACTTCAAGCACTTGCCTTCCAGAAGAAGCAATGCACTGGTGAGTTCTGTGTGTACTTTTACAATGTTCATAATTTATCTCTGCAACAGGGAAGTCCATACCAAATAGGTAGCAAAGGGAAGCTGTCTTCTAAGGTTGATTTAAGTAGACCAACAAATTAAAATGATGAAGTAAGATGGGTAATGCTTCATTTTTGAACTGACTAAATGCAGATGGCTGATATATGGATAAAAATATGTCCTCTGATGTATAAAAGTAGCTGAAAAGATATTTGTCCATACATTGACAGCTATCTTAATATAGTGTTCAAAATTATTATGAAGCCAATTTCCAAATTAAGGGCCAATAATTAAAAACTGATTTTTATATGTGACTATATATATATATATATGCTTGTTTAAAGCAGACACATGTTTTTGCTTTTTTCAACATTTTCAGTACATATTTTAAATAAAATGCACATTTAAAATACCTAATCTGTATTACTTTTCATAGTGACAGAAGCCAAGAAATAACACTTCATCCTTTTGAAAACAATGCTATAAAATTCGATTAAGTAATTTAAAGTGTGTGAGAGTCAAGAATCCATACGGATCACAGGAAGTACATTAATTATTGAGTGATTTATTCAACTTGTATACAGATTGACAATTTTTCTCAAGTAGAACGATTTTCACAGGTATAATTATTTTGATTCAGGATATCTCCTCTATTTCCAAACAATAAAATGGGAAGATGTCATATTTTAGAGCATAAAAAAGTACAGCTTAGGTCTTTAATGTGCATTTTATTTTATCGAGCTCTGGATTAATGCTTTATCAGCCCCTAAGGCAGAACCCGAAACCTGGACGGTCACTTCGATTTCAAAATTAATAGAAGAAAGGACTGACCACACATATTAAAGCTGTTCATTCCATCTGGATTGCCTTCTCACGTGAACTCAACTCTACAGAATTCATTTATGTGGGAAGGACCAAGGTGTGATCAAGTCCTTTCCAACGATAAATAATGAGTTTCTATCTATTACTCTTTAAAAGCCATTATCATGAGAATAAACTTCAGCACTCCTTGTACAGAATACACTTGAAAATACTTGCTTTGAAAGTTGGATAGTACAGTTTTTACCCTAGTCCTGAGAAAATTCATGGATCTTGCAATTTCACTAAAATTTTGCTTCATTTCTTAATGCAATTCATAAGTACTAAAAGGACTTCTTAATTGCAACCTGAAATGTGAGTAATTTAGGGGGGCCTTATGTGGCCCCAAACTAAATGGAACAAATATAAAAAGCAATCTGAAAGGCAAATAAGTGGCTTTCTAGCTGAATGTTACACAGATCTTCCCAAGCCACGAGCTTGCAGGGCCGGGAACAGTGCATCCTGTTGGGGGTTAATCATTTTGCCCCAGGGCTGTTTCTCCTTTGACACAAGCTAAAAGTCCCTCAGTAACAAAACAGTTCCTGCCACCAGCCAAACGATGACCAATATGAAAGCGTGGACCCAAGGGGGGACAAAGAAACCACTCTGTCTGAGGAAAACCGAGGAAGGTGGCAGCAGGGCTGGATCACAGGAGGGGAAACAGAGGAAAGTGAAAATGCAGAGGCTGGAGAGAGACGAGCAAGGCTTTGAAGAAAGAGAAGGTGGAAACAAGTAGAGTTTGTTTCAGACAAGAGGAAAGGAGGGTTATTCAAGAAATGCTGAGGTTCAGGAGTGAAACGTGAGAGAACCCAGGCTTTTCGATGAAATGGCATGTGCTAAGGATGTAAGGGTGTCGGAGGGAAAGAGATCAAAAACCAGCACGTTAAGGAGTGGAGCGGGGAGTGAGTGAGAGAGAAGGAGAATGACGGTAACAGCTATTCTCACTGGGCATCCACATGGCGCCGAATACACATGCCAGCCACTAGTGTGTATGTGCGTGTCTAGACGTGTGTGTGTATGCATGCATACCACATACCTACACACGTGTCCTTTTTTGTTTTGCATTCTCACAACAGCTCTAAGAAGTGCTACTGTTCCTATTTTATAGATGGAAAAACTGGGGGTCACAGAGTGACTTGCAAATGGGCAAAGAGCTAACATGATACAGGCGGGACCCATGCAGGTCTATGAAGCTCCAACACTGCTCCCTTTTCTGCCTTTGAGACAGGATTGGTTTCTATATCATGAGATGAAACATGGTAATTTCACATCCCTGGATGCATTGCTAATCTTGTAAAACAAAATATAAATATATGAGCAGGTGTCAAATTGCTTGACAAGATTTAATAGAATCCTTTTTTGAGAGTTTATAGGAACAAAATATACGGAAAATGGTATTTAATTGAATATCTACTCTGCTTTTTATGTCTATACATAATATATTTTTGAAACAAAAATAATGAGGGTTCTAGAGCAAAGTATGAATTCCAACCTATGACTCCAGTTCACCATCTCCAAACCCATTGCTAAATATTTACCGCTGAGTTCAACCTACGCCTTCTCTCTTCACCTAAAGTCTTAGGTGTTGTGACTTGAACTTAAGTAAAACACATTTCCCACCAAAACCTTAGGTTGTTAGACATTTCTGTTGCTGCAAGCAGATGTGCAGTGAATTGCTTCTATTGCGGCTTAAAAATAGAGTTCTTTTTTTTTTTTAATTACTTGTTAAAGGATAGACATGCATGTGGTATTTAAGGTCACCATGGTTCCTCCCGTCATGGCCATTTCAGGCTTACACGGAATTTTTTCCGGAGTGTCAGCACAACATAAAATGCACAGGCAAGCAATTCTAAATACCACTTGTTACCCCACATCCCCCAGTTAGGATGCAGAGAGCAAGTTCCACAAGAAGAAAAGACCCCAGAACAGGACGTGCAGTGGTTCCAGCAATCCACAAAGCTCAACTCACATGAGGGTGAAAAGTTACACTTTTATTTACTAAGGAGCTTCTTCAGAGGGTCTGAAGCTCTATTGCAATGGTGAGGCACCAAAGTCAGAAGCAGGTTCTGCCTTTCTTCTATCTAGAACTGGTTACCATATCTTTCAAAATATTTTCTTACACGTCTGTTTCTCAAAAGGTCAAAATTTTGGAGGCCAAACCAAGGACCTTCAAAAAGTATGATCATCGCAGCAAATTCTGCCAGAGGCCAAGGTGTGTCTGTGTGCTGGGGCTCCTCTGGGGAAGCAGTCAACTCCCGGAGGCCAAGAATCAGCATCTGAGCATTCATACTCTGGTCTCAATTCATCTGTAGTTACATGTCAACTCAAGGTATCTTCTAAAGAAGTGAGAGCTAATGTAAACCTAGGCCAATTCTTCTTTTGTAACCAGCTATTCAACAATTCACTCAAACGCCAGGCATGTGATTTACACTCTAATAAAAATCAACAAAGAGCT